ACCTGTTACGTGTGTGATACACTGGACGTGTTTGATGCTCGTCAGCACACCTGTTACGTGTGTGATACACTGGACGTGTTTGATGCTCGTCAGCACACCTGTTACGTGTGTGATGGACACTGGACGTGTTTGATGCTCGTCAGCACACCTGTTACGTGTGTGATACACTGGACGTGTTTGATGCTCGTCAGCACACCTGTTACGTGTGTGATACACTGGACGTGTTTGATGCTCGTCAGCACACCTGTTACGTGTGTGATACACTGGACGTGTTTGATGCTCGTCAGCACACCTGTTACGTGTGATATACACTGGACGTGTTTGATGCTCGTCAGCACACCTGTTATGTGTGTGTGACACTGGACGTGTTTGATGCTCGTCAGCACACCTGTTACGTGTGTGATACACTGGACGTGTTTGATGCTCGTCAGCACACCTGTTACGTGTGTGATACACTGGACGTGTTTGATGCTCGTCAGCACACCTGTTACGTGTGTGATACACTGGACGTGTTTGATGCTCGTCAGCACACCTGTTACGTGTGTGATACACTGGACGTGTTTGATGCTCGTCAGCACACCTGTTACGTGTGTGATACACTGGACGTGTTTGATGCTCGTCAGCACACCTGTTACGTGTGTGATACACTGGACGTGTTTGATGCTCGTCAGCACACCTGTTACGTGTGTGATACACTGGACGTGTTTGATGCTCGTCAGCACACCTGTTACGTGTGTGATACACTGGACGTGTTTGATGCTCGTCAGCACACCTGTTACGTGTGTGATACACACCTGTTACGTGTGTGACGTGTTTGATGCTCGTCAGCACACCTGTTACGTGTGTGATACACTGGACGTGTTTGATGCTTCAGCACACCTGTTACGTGTGTGATACATGCACACACACCTGTTACGTGTGTGATACACTGGACGTGTTTGATGCTCGTCAGCACACCTGTTACGTGTGTGATACACTGTTTGATGCTCGTCAGCACACCTGTTACGTGTGTGATACACTGGACGTGTTTGATGCTCGTCAGCACACCTGTTACGTGTGTGATACACTGGACGTGTTTGATGCTCGTCAGCACACCTGTTACGTGTGTGATACACTGGACGTGTTTGATGCTCGTCAGCACACCTGTTACGTGTGTGTTACACTGGACGTGTTTGATGCTCGTCAGCACACCTGTTACGTGTGTGATACACACACCCTGTGTGTGTGACACTGTGTTTGATAACACCTGTTACGTGTTTTGTTTGATAGTCAGCACACCTGTTACGTGTGTGATACACTGGACGTGTTTGATGCTCGTCAGCACACCTGTTACGTGTGTGATACACATATATAATTTACTCAAAGTCTTATCTGTTATAATGTACAAACACATCTGATGTCTCAATTGTTACAAGGAGAACCAATATTGTTGGAAATGCAATGTACATGTATATCTGTTTCCATAGTAACAATTTTGGAAATATCTGATGCGTCAAAGTATAGACTTTGACAAGCTGAATTAGTTCCCAGGTTTAAGAGAAGAATGGACAAGATCCATGTATTCGTTGGTCTTATTTGGTTACCATGGCAATTAAATGATATGAGTTATTTTGGAAGAAAATATCACCATTGTAAGTATCACACCTGAAGGCTCTTATTGATCAATCTTAAGCATAACAGAAAGATATCTAAATTTCAATCAATCAGAAGCCTCCATTATGTCTCTATAGCAATGGTTCTGGAAAGACATAATACTGCGTGCGTAAGTTATGGGTTTTAATATGTTACACTGTTTGACAAAGTTTCATTAAAATTGATATCAGGACAAATGATCTATAGCCACTACAGGTCAAAATTTAAGTAGAATTATCTGTTTCCATGGTAACTAATATTACTAGCAAAATAAGAAAACAAGGGCCATCAGAGACGATTAATGCTCCCTGAATGGGAAAAAATTTAAGTATGAAAAATAACAAACGGTAACAAGGGAGTTCTTGTACACTGCCCCCATTCTTGTTGAGATCTATCTACTTCACCTTAATACCTGTTATAGTTTTAGTGTAATGCTCCAGACAGAGTTTAAATATGATAAATAACAAAGGGCAATAACTCCTAAATTATGCTTCTCCTTGTTGAGATTTATCTGCCTATGAAGCATTATGTTGATACCTCTTGTGTTATGCTCCAGACAATTGGATGGATGGACAGACTGACAGAAAGATTGACAAAGCAGCAATTACATGCTCTCCCTTCGGGGAGCATAAAAAATTGCATGTACATTTACATGGTACTAAATATTTTTATAATGTTTAAAAAAAGTGGTTCACAAGTTATGTCTGCTGATAGATACACAGACAGATAGACCAACAACCTGATTCCAGTATACCCCACACCCAACCCTCAAACTTCATTGTGCAGGGAATAGAAATACCTGAAGTGACATCTGTTGTAGACATTTCTGAGGTGTTGCCTTTTACAAATACACTTGAGACAACACCTGTTACAAACATATCTGAGGTGTTGCCTTTTACAAATACACTTGAGACAACACCTGTTAAAAACATATCTGAGGTGTTGTCTTTTACAAATTCACTTGAGACAACACCTGTTACAAATATATCTGAGGTATCAATTCTTGCTTATACACTTAAGGCATCACTTTTTACGGATATCTAGCCTAATAAAAACACACTTTAGGTATTACCTGTTAAAAACAAACCTGATTTGTCACCTTTTACACAGACACAAGAGGTGTCACTTACTACAAAGACACATTAAATGTAGAATTTTACAAATATACCTCAGAGATGTTACCTGTACAAACATACATCTCTGAGGTGTGACCTGTACAAATATACCAATGAGGAGTTACTTGTAGAAACATACCTCTGCGATGTGACTTGAACAAACAAACATCTGAGGTGTGACCTGTATAATCATACCTCTGAGGGTCGACCTGTAAAAACAAACATCTGAGGTGTGACCTGTACAAACATACATCTGAGGTGTGACCTGTACAAACATACATCTCACGTGTGACCTGTACAAACATACCTCTGAGGTGTGACCTGTGCAAACATACATCTGAGGTGTGACCTGTACAAATATACCACTGAGGTGTGACCTGTACAAACATACATCTCTGAGGTGTGACATGTACAAATATACCACTGAGGTGTGATTTACACAAACAAACCTCTGAGGTGTGACCTGAACAAACAAACCTCTGAGGTGTGACCTGAACAAGCATACATCTAAGGTGTGACCTGTACAAACAAATATCTGAGGTGTGACCTGTACAAACATACATCTGAGGTGTGACCTGTACAAATATACCACTGAGGTGTGACCTGTACAAACATACATCTGAGGTGTGACCTGTACAAATATACCTATGAGGTGTGACCTGTACAAACATACACCTCTGAGGTGTGACCTGTACAAACATACCTCTGAGGAGTGACTTGTAGAAACATACCTCTGCGGTGTGATTTGAACAAACAAACATCTGAGGTGTGACCTGTATAATCATACCTCTGAGGGTCGACCTGTACAAACAAACATCTGAGGTGTGACCTTTACAAACATACCTCTGAGGTGTGACCTGTACAAACATACATCTGAGGTGTGACTTACACAATCAAACCTCTGAGGTGTGACCTGTACAAACATACATCTGAGGTGTGACCTGTACAAACATACCACTGAGGTGTGACTTACACAAACAAACCTCTGAGGTGTGACCTGAACAAGCATACATCTGAGGTGTGACCTGTACAAACATACCTCTGAGGTGTGACCTGTATAATCATACCTCTGAGGGTCGACCTGTACAAACAAACATCTGAGGTGTGACCTGTACAAACATACATCTCACGTGTGACCTGTACAAACATACCTCTGAGGTGTGACCTGTACAAACATACATCTGAGGTGTGACCTGTACAAATATACCACTGAGGTGTGACCTGTACAAACATACATCTGAGGTGTGACCTGTATAAATATACCACTGAGGTGTGACTTACACAAACAAACCTCTGAGGTGTGACCTTAACAAGCATACATCTGAGGTGTGACCTGTACAAACATACATCTGAGGTGTGACTTGTACAAATATACATCTGAGGTGTGACCTGTACAATTATACCTCTGAGGTATGACTTACACAAACAAACCTCTGAGGTGTGACCTGAACAAGCATACATCTGAGGTGTGACCTGTACAAACATACATCTGAGGTGTGACCTGTACAAACATACACCTCAGGTGTGACCTGTACAAACATACATCTGAGGTGTGACCTGTGCAAATATACCACTGAGGTGTGACCTGTACAAACATACATCTGAGGTGTGACCTGTACAAATATACCACTGAGGTGTGACCTGTACAAACAAACATCTGAGGTGTGACCTGTACAAACATACCTCTGAGGTGTGACTAATCAACAATTTCTTGTCCACAAACTTTTAAAATGTGTGTCTATGTAGATTTACTGAGCTATATTTATCTATGAAATCAAGTGACAATGAAAATAAAATGAAAAAAAAAAACCCATCAAAATTGAGTCTGAACAAAAATACATATGATCTTAAAGTACATGGGAATGTGGTGTGTACGTTAAATAGATATATTATATCAATGTAAATGTAATTTCCCATATCCCATCAGAGCACCAATATACAAAAAAAATAAAGAAATAAATAAAAAATGTTCATTGTATGCATAAAGTGTAAATATTTTCCATAAAATGAATATACTCTCTGTTAATTTAAGTTTTCACAAGTAAGTTTACCTACTTGTCTTCCTGCCATGGTTTGATTTCAATAATCGCTTTATAAAAGAAGGGACGTAACTCTAGAAAAGGGCAGTAACAGTAACAGATGTAAAGTGTATATATGACTTCTTACGATGAAGGGAAAAATGGTAAAAGTTAAATCTTTAATCAACAAAACAACACAAAAAATTGAAGAATGGATTTCATCTTTTGTGTTCATGGATTTGATATGTATTTTAAGTTATATGGATGATTTTAAAAACTAATCTAAAATCTAAAATTATTCAGATATTTTAAACCAAAATTTCTTAGATTTTGATAAATGTAAGTACTCCTGTATAATAAAAAGAACTTTCACCACATCCTCATACCAATTATAGACATTCATCATGTCATTATACAAATTACAGACTTTCACCACATCCTAATACAAATTATAGACATCATCACATCCTTACACAAATTATAGACATCATCACATCCTTATACAAATTGCAGACTTTCATCACATCCTTATAAAAATTATAGACATCATCACATCCTTATACAAATTATAGATATCATCACATCCTTATACAAATTATAGACATCATCACATCCTTATACAATTTACAGACTTTCATCACATCCTTATACAAATTGTGACATTCATCACATCCTTATATAAATTACAGACTTTCATCACATCCTTCTATAAATTACAGACTTTCATCACATCCTTATACAAATTGTGACTTTCATCACATCCTTATTCAAATTGTGACTTTCATCACATCCTTATACAAATTACAGACTTTCATCACATCCTTATATAAATTATAGACATCATCACATCCTTATACAAATTGTGACTTTCATCACATCCTTATACAAATTACAGACTTTCATCACATCCTTATACAAATTACAGACTTTCATCACATCCTTATACAAATTGTGACATTCATCACATCCTTATACAAATTACAGACTTTCATCACATCCTTATACAAATTACAGACTTTCATCACATCCTTATATAAATTATAGACATCATCACATCCTTATACAAATTAGACTTTCATCACATCCTTATACAAATTGTGACTTTCATCACATCCTTATACAAATTGTGACTTTCATCACATTCTTATACAAATTGTGACTTTCATCACATCCTTATATAAATTACAGACTTTCATCACATCTTTATATAAATTACAGACTTTCATCACATCCTTATACAAATTACAGACTTTCATCACATCCTTATACAAATTACAGACTTTCAGCACATCCTTATACAAATTGTGACATTCATCACATCCTTATACAAATTACAGACTTTCATCACATTCTTATACAAATTACACACTTTCATCACATCCTTATATAAATTGTGACTTTCATCACATCCTTATACAAATTGTGACTTTCATCACATCCTTATACAAATTGTGACTTTCATCACATCCTTATACAAATTGTGACTTTCATCACATCCTTATACAAATTACAGACTTTCATCACATCCTTACACAAATTACAGACTTTCAGCACATCCTTATACAAATTGTGACATTCATCACATCCTTATATAAATTATAGACATCATCACATTCTTATACAATTTACAGACTTTCATCACATTCTTATACAAATTACAGACTTTCATCACATCCTTATATAAATTATAGACATCATCACATCCTTATACAAATTGTGACTTTCAGCACATCCTTATACAAATTGTGACTGTCATCACATCCTTATACAAATTACAGACTTTCATCACATCCTTATACAAATTACAGACTTTCATCACATTCTTATACAAATTACAGACTTTCATCACATCCTTATATAAATTATAGACATCATCACATCCTTATCCAATTTGTGACTTTCATCACATCCTTATACAAGTTACAGACTTTCATCACATCCTTATATAAATTATAGACATCATCACATCCTTATACAAATTGTGACTTTCATCACATCCTTATACAAGTTACAGACTTTCATCACATCCTTATACAAATTAGACTTCAACCACCTCCACATAAAATTTGTTATTATCCAGATATCATCCCTTAGTGTCCAGTCTAACATGACGAAACATTTAATCATTGGGCGAAAGCGTTCAGGTGTTTTTATAGCATTCTGCATCATCTTCTATGGAAAGTAGAATTTCAGAAACCTGTAAAAAATCAGCACATGCTTTAACCATAACTCATCAAAATGGTTTTTCTCACTTATCAAAACATTTTCCTTGAATTATAAATCTGCACTATCTGCACTAAGCAGAGATTTATATTCACTGAAGACAACCACTTCCTGTCCACTTAATTACCTTTACAGAAATTACCTTTACAGAAATTACCTTTATAGAAATGTTTTTTGAGGTTTTTATAGACAGATATTTTTCATATACTGGCAATTTAAAAGACAGCATAAACATACCACCAAAAGGATTCGTGTGTGGTATCCTTGGAGACATCTATTCTGTGTCCTGCTGAAGGGCCAATATCGACCGTGATATTTGTGTATAGGGGATGTTCTGTCAGCTGTTTCACAGTGTAATTCATCGTGGATGGTGTATTTAAGCCATCGTTCATCCATCTACCCCGCCATCCCAGGAAGGCATCATAACTAAGACCACAAAAGATACAAACACAGAAATTATAACTCAGTAACATGTATCAAAGTAGATACACCATGTAAAAGTTTGTATACAAAATTGAAAATTTACATATCAAAACCAAAGTGCAATATAGTAAAAGTATAACAATGTAACACATGAATTTTCAGTGAATTTTGAAATACTGCACAACAGACTTTTTCACTTCAGTGTATCTTATTACTACCAAGATTGCATAGCAACTATTACAATCACAACTTTTTTTATTCAAGAAAAAATAATCTTTCCCTGAATCAGGTGTATTGTATAGATAATTGATGTTACTGAAGTTTAAATGTATTTGCAATTGCAATTTAAATACAATTGCACAACGATAGTCAATACTTTATTGGTGCTTGGGAATTTACATTCATTTACAATGCTGGTATATAACAGTATTGGGTTATCATGTTAAAGCATTTCCTTTTCAATGAGAAACCATAGTGTAAAATTTCTGATCTTTAACATTACAAAATGATACGGCAAATGTGAGATATCTCATTTTCGACATGAAGTAGAGAAATTTGTACACCTTTATGAATTGCTCAATTTTCATGATTTTTCACAATTCTATATTAACTACAACAATTTATGGACATATGAATTCCTGGACTAAGAAAATCCACAAAACTGACAAAAATAAATCCTCCATGAAAATGAATTATTTACAGTATCCTGAACTTGACCATAAAATTTAAGAATCCATTCAGTCATTCTTCAGGAATAGGAGCAACAAATTTTAAACATCAAAACGCAAAATGACGACTTGCAGTCATTTTTATTATCTATCGAAGCCCAACATGTGACATGCACATCCAGGACCCATAAATATACAAAACTTTTCAAGGAAGTCTTCAGAAACAGCACAGTAACAAAAAAATTGTTCATGGTGTGGATGGATGGACAGACCAACCACAGAAGCAAAGTGATTTAAAAAGAACCAACATTTGATGACGATTATCTAAAAATTGTTATCAGATCTATTTGTGTGATATATCACAAGACCTATTTTAGTAAGATAAAATATTGTTTACCCATTGTCAGATCTTGTCTCCTTCACATGGCGCACCATCTTGAACATGCCAATGTATTCTGGAGGTCGTGTGATCAACAGTCCTGCTTCTTGTGTTCTGTATTAATAAATATAAATATCTTTTTAGATTCTGCATTTCTGTTATCATTATCCTTGTTGGTGGTCACATGACTGTCATAAGAATTTCTATGCTGTGATGTCCTCATTTCTCAAGCCCAAGTATGAGTTAAGTTAGCCATGTGACAGTCATATGATTGCAATGTGACCAACTGTGCAGGAACATCATCATGTGAATGTCATGTGACTTAACCTGCTGAAATGTTGCCATTTTCATTCCACCAACTCCAGTAAGAGTTAGGGTAGTCATGTGACTACCATGTAACTTACCATGCTGAGTAATCCTCATTTTCCCAGTCACAGTAATCTTCATTTCCCCAGCCCCAGTAATCCTCATTTCCCCAGCCCCAGTAATCCTCATTTCCCCTGTCCCAGTAATCCTCGTTTCCCCAGCCCCAGTAATCCTCATTTCCCCAGCCCCAGTAATCCTCATTTCCCCAGCCCCAGTAATCCTCATTTCCCCTGTCCCAGTAATCCTCGTTTCCCCAGCCCCAGTAATCCTCCTTTCCACAGCCCCAGTAATCGTTTCACCAACCCCAGTAAGAGTTTGGGTAGCCATGACTTACCATGCTGAGATGTTGTCGTACTCATTTTCCCAGTCACAGTAATCCTCGTTTCCCTAGCCCCAGTAATCCTCGTTTCCCCAGCCCCAGTAATCCTCCTTTCCCCAGCCCCAGTAATCGTTTCACCAACCCCAGTAAGAGTTTGGGTAGCCATGACTTATCATGCTGAGATGTTGTCGTACTCATTTCCCCAGTCACAGTAATCCTCATTTCCCTAGCCCCAGTAATCCTCGTTTCCCCAGCCCCAGTAAGAGATAGAGTAGCCATGTAACTTACCCTGTTGAGATGTCATCGTCCTCATTTCCCCAGCCCCAGAAATTCTCGTTTCCCTAGCCCCAGTAATCCTCATTTCCCCTGTCCCAGTAATCCTCATTTCCCCTGTCCCAGTAATCCTCATTTCCCCTGTCCCAGTAATCCTCGTTTCCCCAGCCCCAGTAATCCTCATTTCCCCTGTCCCAGTAATCCTCATTTCCCCTGTCCCAGTAATCCTCGTTTCCCCAGCCCCAGTAATCCTCATTTCCCCTGTCCCAGTAATCCTCATTTCCCCTGTCCCAGTAATCCTCATTTCCCCAGCCCCAGAAATTCTCGTTTCCCTTGCCCCAGTAATCCTCATTTCCCCTGTCCCAGTAATCCTCATTTCCCCTGTCCCAGTAATCCTCGTTTCCCCAGCCCCAGTAATCCTCATTTCCCCTGTCCCAGTAATCCTCGTTTCACCAGCCCCAGAAATCCTCATTTCCCCAGCCCCAGTAATCCTCGTTTCCCCAGCCCCAGTAATCCTCATTTCCCCAGCCCCAGTAATCCTCATTTCCCCAGCCCCAGTAATCCTCATTTCCCCTGTCCCAGTAATCCTCGTTTCCCCAGCCCCAGTAATCGTTTCACCAACCCCAGTAAGAGTTTGGGTAGCCATGACTTACCATGCTGAGATGTTGTCGTACTCATTTCCCCAGCCCCAGTAATCCTCGTTTCCCTAGCCCCAGTAATCCTTGTTTCCCCAGCCCCAGTAATCCTCGTTTCCCCAGCCCCAGTAAGAGATAGAGTAGCCATGTAACTTACCCTGTTGAGATGTCATCGTCCTCATTTGCCCAGCCCCAGAAATTCTCGTTTCCCCAGCTCCAGTAATCCTCATTTCCCCAGCCCCAGTAATCCTCATTTCCCCTGTCCCAGTAATCCTCGTTTCCCCAGTCACAGTAATCCTCATTTCCCCAGCCCCAGTAATCCTCATTTCCCCTGTCCCAGTAATCCTCGTTTCCCCAGTCACAGTAATCCTCATTTCCCCAGCCCCAGTAATCCTCATTTCCCCAAACCTAGTAAGAATTTGGGTAGCCATGACTTACCATGCTGAGATGTCGTTGTACTCATTTCCCCAGCCCCAGTAATCCTCGTTTCCGCAGCCCCAGTAATCCTCGTTTCCCAAGCCCAAGTAAGGGATAGTGTAGCCATGACTTACAGTGTTGAGATGTCATCGTCCTCGTTTCCCAAGCCCCAGTAATCCACTTTCCCCAGCCCCAGTAATCCTCGTTTCCCCAGTCACAGTAATCCTCATTTCCCCAGCCCCAGTAATCCTCGTTTTCCCAGTCCCAGTAATCCTCGTTTCCCCAGTCACAGTAATCCTCATTTCCCCAGCCCCAGTAATCCTCATTTCCCCAGTCCCAGTAAGAGATAGGGTAGCCATGTAACTTACCGTGCTGAGATGTTGTTGTCCTCGTTTCCACAGCCCCAGTAATCCTCGTTTCCCCAGCCCCAGTAATCCTCGTTTCCCCAGTCACAGTAATCCTCATTTCCACAGCCCCAGTAATCCTCGTTTCCCCAGCCCCAGTAATCCTCGTTTCCCCAGCTCCAGAAATCCTCATTTCCCCAGCCCCAGTAATCCTCGTTTCACCAGCCCCAGAAATCCTCATTTCCCCAGCCCCAGTAATCCTCGTTTCCCCAGTCACAGTAATCCTCATTTCCCCAACCCTAGTAAGAATTTGGGTAGCCATGACTTACCATGCTGAGATGTTGTTGTACTCATTTCCCCAGCCCCAGTAATCCTCGTTTCCACAGCCCCAGTAATCCTCATTTCCCAAGCCCAAGTAAGGGATAGGGTAGCCATGACTTACAGTGTTGAGATGTCATCGTCCTCGTTTCCCCAGCCCAAGTAATCCTCGTTTCCCCAGCCCCAGTAATCCTCATTTCCCCAGTCCCAGTAAGAGATAGGGTAGCCTTGTAACTTACCATGCTGAGATGTTGTTGTCCTCGTTTCCCCAGCCCCAGTGATCCTCATTTACCCAGCCCCAGTAATCCTCGTTTCCCCAGTCACAGTAATCCTCATTTCCCCAGTCGCAGTAATCCTCGTTTCCCCAGCCCCAGAAATCCTCATTTCCCCAGCCCCAGTAATCCTCGTTTCACCAGACCCAGTAAGAGATAGGGTAGCCATGTAACTTACCGTGCTGAGATGTTGTTGTCCTTGTTTCCCCAATCCAAATAATCCTCATTTCCCCAGCCCCAGTAATCCTCGTTTCCCCAGACCCAGTAAGAGATAGGGTAGCCATATAACTTACCGTGCTGAGATGTTGTTGTCCTTGTTTCCCCAGCCCAAATAATCCTCATTTCCCCAGCCCCAGTGATCCTCATTTCCCCAGCCACAGTAAGAGATAGGATAGCCATGTTGCTTACCGTGCTTAGATGTCATCGTCTTCATTTCCCCAGCCCCAGTAATCCTCTTTTCCCCAGCCCCAGAAATCCTCATTTCCCCAGCCCCTTTAATTCTCATTTCCCCAGCCCCAGTAAGAGATAGGGTAGCCATGTAACTTACCATGCTGAGATGTTGTTTTCCTCGTTTCCCCAGCCCCAGTGATCCTCATTTCCCCAGCCCCAGTAATCCTCATTTCCCCAGCCCCAGTGATCCTCATTTACCCAGCCACAGTAAGAGATAGGATAGCCTTGTAACTTACCGTGCTGAGATGTCATCGTCTTCATTTCCCCAGCCCCAGTAAGAGTTTGGGTAGCCATTAATTTTTTGGAAGCTGTCTGCCTTCATAGCAATCACTCCCCCGGCATAGTTAAAATACATAACACTGGCAACAAAAATAAAACTTACATGTAAGTTAAATAATGTTCTACATATCATCCTACATTAAGTCATCAGATTAGAATCACCTCTTACACTGTACCATTAAATAAAAGGCAGCACTCAAGCATTCCTGGCACAGTCATAGCAAGAACACACAGCAACAAAATGTATTTCCGATGACAACATTTAATTTTATGTTATTATTCAATACTTATTCAAAAATTTGACATAATGCTTCAAAGGTCTATACAAGTAATTTTGCTTTGTGCATTAACTATACAAGATATTCTAAAGACTTGAACATGGAAGTTACAAGAATGTGTTATCAGCCCAGAGAAGCTATAATGATATCAATTGAAAACAAAATGTCTGGGAAATCATGACATGAAAGTTGTTGTGTTTGTTGGAGACTGTGTGGCTGACATGTCTGCCATCGGCGACAGTAGTCAACTCATCCATGTTATTCAGCAATAGAATGTGAGGCAACAAGATTTTCTTTTACAGGCAATAGGTAAATTATTTTCTCTTCCTGATACGAAGTTACGGACTGGGAAAACTAGTTCCATTTTTTTTGTCTTTTACTACATAATAATAACATAATTGTTAAGAAAAAATAAATGAAATATTTTCTTCAATGATTTAAGACGAACTTGATGTAAATATTTAAATCTGGGGAACAGATTAGTGATGCCAATATCTAGATTCATCACTAGCAGACAACAATTTTTAAATCTGGGGAACTATCACTGATATCTAGTTTCATCACTAGCAGACGACAATTTTTAAACCTGGGGTACAACTCACTGATATCTAGATTCATCACTAGCAGACGACAATTTTTAAATCTGGGGTACAATTTAATGATATCTAGGTTCATCACTAGCAGACGACAATTTTTAAACCTGGGGTACAACTCACTGATATCTAGATTCATCACTAGCAGACAACAATCTTTAAATCTGGGGTACAATTTAATGATATCTAGGTTCATCACTAGCAGACGACAATTTTTAAACCTGGGGTACAACTCACTGATATCTAGATTCATCACTAGCAGACAACAATCTTTAAATCTGGGGTACAATTTAATGATATCTAGGTTCATCACTAGCAGACGACAATTTTTAAACCTGGGGTACAACTCACTGATATCTAGATTCATCACTAGCAGACAACAATCTTTAAATCTGGGGTACAATTTAATGATATCTAGATTCATCACTAGCAGACGACAATTCTTAATTCTGGGGTACAACTCACTGATATCTAGATTCATCACTAGCAGACGACAATTTTTAAATCTGGGGAACTATCACTGATATCTAGTTTCATCACTAGCAGACGACAATTTTTAAATCTGGGGTACAACTCACTGATATCTAGATTCATCACTAGCAAACGACAATTTTTAAATCTGGGGTACAACTCACTGATATCTAGATTCATCACTAGCAGACGACAATTTTTAAATTTGGGGTACAATTTAATGATATCTAGGTTCATCACTAGCAGACGACAATTTTTAATTCTGGGGTACAACTCACTGATATCTAGATTCATCACTAGCAAACGACAATTTTTAAATCTGGGGTACAACTCACTGATATCTAGATTCATCACTAGCAGACGACAATTTTTAATTCTGGGGTACAACTCACTGATAGCTAGATTCATCACTAGCAAACGACAATTTTTAAATCTGGGGTACAACTCACTGATATCTAGATTCATCACTAGCAGACGACAATTTTTAAATTTGGGGTACAATTTAATGATATCTAGGTTCATCACTAGCAGACGACAATTTTTAATTCTGGGGTACAACTCACTGATATCTAGATTCATCACTAGCAAACGACAATTTTTAAATCTGGGGTACAACTCACTGATATCTAGATTCATCACTAGCAGACGACAATTTTTAATTCTGGGGTACAACTCACTGATATCTAGATTTTTCACTAGCAGACGACAATTTTTAAATCTGGGGTACAACTCACTGATATCTAGATTCATCACTAGCAAACGATAATTTTTAAATCTGGGGTACAACTCACTGATATCTAGATTCATCACTAGCAAACGACAATTTTTAATTCTGGGGTACAACTCACTGATATCTAGATTCATCACTAGGAAACGACAATTTTTAAATCTGGGGTAAAACTCACTGATATCTAGATTCATCACTAGCAGACGACAATCTTTAAATCTGGGGTACAATTTAATGATATCTAGGTTCATCACTAGCAGACGACAATTTTTAATTCTGGGGTACAACTCACTGATATCTAGATTCATCACTAGGAAACGACAATTTTTAAATCTGGGGTAAAACTCACTGATATCTAGATTCATCACTAGCAGACGATAATTTTTAAATCTGGGGTACAACTCACTGATATCTAGTTTCATCAATAGCAGACGACAGCTGACGAAGGTGATCATCACACATGTAGAGATTTTTGTCATTTTCTGGGAGAAGATCCACGTCATGGAAAATAAAGCAATCAAATTTTCCAATCTTCATTGCTTCTCTGAATCCAACATTCATTAGCTTTCCTCGATTAAACCTGTCATCTCCTGCCTGTAAATAAAATCATTATTATTGTTGCTAATTATACAATATAAATCTTCTGTAACCTAGACGAGCACGACTCGCAAAGAATGGCTAAAACAACCAAAATACAATATATACAAGTTTATTACACTCTATACACATAACAAGATATATCTCCTACCCTAATTCAGCACACTTCACTCCCTCACTCATAACCACACTTACACTTATAGAAAATATAGAAATATATATTAAAGTCTATACAGCCAAGCATCTATACATGTCTCTGGTAAAGACTCTGAAAAACGTCTCTGGATGACCTGCTTATAAAACGTTACATGAGTCAGCAAATGTTCACCGGATTGAACAAATGTCCTCCCTGTTAACAGATCCAATGACGCACCAAGTACTGTCCACAAAGGACATCTCAATAGTTGTCCACACAGGACATCTCAGGACTGCCCACACATGATATCTTCATAATGGTCCATACAGGACATCTTAGGACTGCCCACACAGGACATCTTTATAATTGTCCACACAGGACAGCATATACAGTAGATAGGTCTGTCTACCTCCAGACTATATACTGCAACAGTCCACACCAGACCTCATATGTTTACAGGACTGCCCACACAGGACATAGTATCAGGCTACACTGCCTTGCCCACACAGTACGTTAGCAACAGCTATCTTGGCCCACATAGGACACAAACATGTTCCATCTCTGTACCAGTAGTATCATCATCGTCCTCACTAACATCATGGGGTAGAACTGTAATTACATAATATAACCATGTCTAACCAAATATCCCATTCCTATTACTAAGCTATACATATATTCATTTAGTATCTCATAATATACACAAATATCATATTATTACAACCATATAATACTGTATGTAGCTAATTAACTGATATAATTCCATTAGCAAATTCTAGTCTTAATTTCAAGTTTCTGATAATAACTAAATACATAATCCAATTCACAAAAATTAGTTATTCTATACCCATAACATATGTATTTTGAACTGTACTCATCGGCTTTTATAAGCATATACATGTATCTCTTAATATTCGGCCCAAATACCAAACAGAACAGATTCCGGGTAAACATTGGAATATAAGGGTGTTATAAAGGTTTACAAACTTACCGCAAACTGTATTTTGCGCTGGCTAACCCCATACAAGCAATTATCAACCTGCCGAAATCTACACCGCTGCTCTCGCTTACATGTACATTTCCATTCTCACGAGACTAAATTCAAATATAAAGAACTCGGATCCGGAGAATCCGTAATTAAATCTTTTACGTGGAATTATTAAGAAAAATAAATAGACAGTATTTAATTTAGGTATTATCAAAATTATTTCATTAAATACATGTACGAAATGTTCAGAATAACTGGGATATTATTTCATACATATAAACAGATAAAATGTACAAAATTATTGTTGGGACTGTGACATCTTCATCAATCAATTAATGGTACTTTTCAAAATATGAACTGGTTTATTTAGAACGACAAAACCATCAAGGACATATTGACAAGCATCGAATACCACCCTAAGGAACACAATATTTCCATAGAGATCATGCCAGTGACCATAATGGACTTATTTCAATAACAGTTCTGATTCTTAAAACTCATCCAAGACATCTATTTTAAATATTAGAAGGATGTTGACATACCTGCTCTAATAAAAATACTTGGTAGTCGATGTTCTGTTTCCTCAGTAAAGGATGTATCCTGTTGAGCATGATCTTGAGGTGATGGAGACGGTTTCTGTAGGGAATTATGATCGCAACTTTCTGAAATGATGTACAGCCCTCAGGTTTCCATTGTCCACCCAGGGAAACATGTGGATTTCTCTGCTTGATCAGATCAAACGATGGTTCAGAGAAAATATCTAACTTCACTACATCTGGAATCAAGATAATAACAAAAAATTCATCAAAATGGAGCTTGTGAAGAACACACATAAATGTACATATGTATGTTTCCTTGGCAACGCCTGGATGTAAACTGCCTAGAAATGTAATTTAGGGTATGATGAATGACATTCGTCACATGACCATTACATCATTATTATAGGTAAGGAAACAGTGAAAGATGACAGTGTAAATGGCTGTCAACCTGATGGAGTGCAAAGTTCATAAATAATAATTTATTGCAGCATAATAAGTTCATTATTGGCATAACGTAGCAACATACATAGCAATTATAAATACAGTGAAACCTCACTTTTAAGGCCGTGTTGGTGACTCAACTGGATATGTCTTGATAACCGGTAAAAAGCTTAGTATAGTGAGTAAGCCCAATACTGCTACTTTTATCCATACATTTTCAGTCATTGAATCTGTATGTTGGTCTTATAGCAGTTTGGCACCTAAATACAGCTAAATGGCCCAACACCTGGTAGATATACTCAGGAATACACAGCACCTTGGTAATAAGGTGACTGCCTAAGGTAGGTTCTAATAAGCGAGGTAATATTAAGTTCACAACTGATCCTTAGGACTTTTAAAAACTGGTCTTAATTTGCGAGGTGGTCTGAATAGTGAGGTGGTCTTGTTAGTGAGGTGGTCTTAGTAGTGAGGTGGTTTTAACAGTGAAGTATGCAATACAAAGATATCTATAGGGTTTTTTGGGGACTGAATTACATTGATCTTCATAATGATCTGGTCTTTTTTTAGGTTAGCTTTAAGTGAGGTTTCACTGTATAAGCACTGAAATTTCATTGGTTTGGTAGACATATTTAACAAAGTGCACTCATGTTGATGTTATCCTGCGAAGTTGTGCTGCTTATTACGATCATGAATACCATATCTAAAGAGATCAATATTTAAAGTTTATACATCCAACTATCTTACCGAGGCTGTCAAAGTCGATTGGACAGATATGTGCTGCTTTGAGAGGATTAAGTATGTGTGTGCGTACTAATGACTCCGGGCTTGTGTATGTACAGTGGCTGCGATAGTTGAACAAAGAAAAGAGCACCAGACTGATGTAAAACACCAAAAGTGTTAGGAACAGGAGTCTTTGCCAGTGCAGCAAACGTTTCTTCATACTGTTAATATATCTATAAAACAGAGACAAAATGATTAGTTTTACAAGCCAAGAGACATGGATCTATCAATTAATGAGCTGTACATAGACTGATAGATGAAATACAAACTTGATTTAACTGTTTGTATTATGAAATTAAAAAAAATATATATATGGTACATTTGAAAATAAAAAAAATGCAATCAAAATTTAAACCTAACTTTTAAAATAGGTGCACAATCCGACACAAAAAACATAAATACAACTTCATTTGGAAAATTCATAATAGTAATATACTATGGATGGCTGAAGGTTCCATGCATATGCATAACACTGAAGGAGTTACCTTCCCCTAACAGGGGACCAGGTCCGAGATCAAATGTAAACTAACGACTTGTGATCGCCGTGGTCAGAAAAAATGCAAGATCAGATATGACTCTTTTTGGAGTAAAACTGTAATTAAGATCACAAAGGTATAGCTATTGTTTGAAATTTTTAAAAAAACGGAAATGTCATGGATGAGCGTTTTATATCAGAACATCGCCGGTATAGAGTATAGTGACATAAATCGTTGTCTACTCACGAGGGCGTTCCAACCTGTCATCCTCATTAAACGTTGGAACTCATAATATCAGCTGTTAAGACTTCACTGTTTAACTGTCTCGGTCAGACACTGGTTATATCATGTCCTAGTGATTGATAATCTAAAGCAACAGATTAATAAAAGCCAAACTTACATACATTCCACCTGGACAAATGACGGTAACACCAACCAGTAAACAATCAAATCCGGAAGTGCCTATAAGTCAGGGGAGGTCACTCCAAGACTCACGTATGGTTGCCACATATAGGTATAGATACGTTGCACATGTATATTCTGACGTTCGAGCTAAATGATTTTGACATGTAGCGAAAACAAAAACAAAACAATGGAGTCCCGCTTTGTTACATTTGAATAAGAAAACACTTGTTTAAACAAGCATTAAGACAACATATTAAAGAAAGTTGGAGAAACATTAGCATGATCTTTTGAGTTTGACGTTAGGCCTACTCTTCAAATCAAGTTGATTCTGTTTTGAATCGCCCACTCTGAGCGGTAGTCTACAATTTTATGTTTTTATCTGGTAACTTGTTTGATTACTTACACAGGTGTTACCAGATTTTTTTAATAGTGTTTATACAGATACAGAGTTGTGTGGTTTTTATTTAGCTCACTTGATTCTAAGCGACACGGGTTGATGACTTTTGGCGAAACACCAACATAATCATTGCATTTTAACATGTTTTATGTAAAGAATGAAATTGCCAACCAGTTCCATTGTTAGAGAAAATGGTTGATACCGAATCCGCACGGCGAGGTAGCATTCATTTTCCCTAATAACAGACTGGAAATAGTCCTAGGTCCTCCACTATGAATCTGTCCTACCAGCCACTGAAATGTAATCATTAGTTGTCCAGGGATGTCTATAGAATGTGCCCTACCAGCCACTGAAATGTAATCACTAGATGTCTATAGAATGTGCCCTACCAGCCACTGAAATGTAATCACTGCTTGTCCAGGGATGTCTATAGAATGTGCCCTACCAGCCACTGAAATGTAATCATTAGATGTCAGGGATGTCTATAGAATGTGCCCTACCAGCCACTGAAATGTAACCACTAGTTGTCCAGGGATGTCTATAGAATGTGCCCTACCAGCCACTGAAATGTAATCATTAGTTGTCCAGGGATGTATATAGAATGTGCCCTACCAGCCACTGAAATGTAATCATTAGATGTCAGGGATGTCTATAGAATGTGCCCTACCAGCCACTGAAATGTAATCATTAGATGTCAGGGATGTCTATAGAATGTGCCCTACCAGCCACTGAAATGTAACCACTAGTTGTCCAGGGATGTCTATAGAATGTGCCCTACCAGCCACTGAAATGTAATCACTAGTTGTCCAGGGATGTCTATAGAATGTGCCCTACCAGCCACTGAAATGTAATCATTAGATGTCAGGGATGTCTATAGAATGTGCCCTACCAGCCACTGAAATGTAACCACTAGTTGTCCAGGGATGTCTATAGAATGTGCCCTACCAGCCACTGAAATGTAATCATTAGATGTCAGGGATGTCTATAGAATGTGCCCTACCAGCCACTGAAATGTAATCACTAGTTGTCAGGTATATCTATAGAATGTGGCCTACCAGCCACTGAAATGTAACCACTAGTTGTCCAGGGATGTCTATAGAATGTGCCCTACCAGCCACTGAAATGTAACCACTAGTTGTCCAGGGATGTCTATAGAATGTGCCCTACCAGCCACTGAAATGTAATCACTAGTTGTCAGGTATGTCTATAGAATGTGCCCTACCAGCCACTGAAATGTAATCATTAGATGTCAGGGATGTCTATAGAATGTGCACCACCAGCAACTGAAATGTAATCACTAGTTGTCCAGGGATATCTATAGAATGTGCCCTACCAGCCACTGAAATGTAATCACTAGTTGTCCTGGGATGTCGAGTGCCATGGACAACTTCTATCATTTTTTACGGATAACAAAGAACACAAGAAGGAGTTACAATAAGTGTACTGTGATAAACCTGTCACCAGTCTTTATCTTTAACATTAGGTATTTCCTCAAAGAAAATAATCGTTGATGAGGGAATGGATATAACAATTGAAGTGAACAAATGAAGAACTGCTTGTGGACAGAGAGTTGATAAGATTGAATGAGAAGGAACTAAAATTTAGAGTTTTCCCAACAAATTAGATCATATGGTATCGTTTGTGTACGACAGTTCTAACTAACAGACAAGCTTCTGCCAACTGTGCCACCGATACAGTAGTCATCATCATGATTATTCTGTAGATATCATGAAATAATTTCATGAATTGTGTAAATGAATGGAGTTTGAAAGGAAGAATATAGTACTCAGTACTTTCTTTGAAATCATGAAGCCGCTTTGGAATTCAAACTGTGCAAAATTGAATATTCAGAATACTTAAATATCTAAAATTATATTTTTATATAGATATGTTTTTTTGCAGTTAACTAGTATTTTAATTAGATTACTTTTTATTGTAACTATACATACATTTTACACATTTTTACAATATATTTTTAATCAAACAATACCTCATTTAGAATGTGGCCGAGATGTACCGGTAGACTACTTTCCTCGGAGTGTGACGTGTAATTGTTTTCATTGCGATGACATATACACTCAGCGTCTAGAGTGCAAAACATACCTAGATTTATGTAAAACATTTTTGTTATTTTAATCACCATCATCATACAACAACTTGGGATGGTTTTGTGTCCAAGACACCTTAAAGGACCTTCGGTGTCCATCGGCCGAATGGATTATCGAGACACCTAAATTTACACCACCGCTCTCGTTTTAGATTTATAACTTTCTGTTCTATGTATATGATGTAATTTATGTAATATTTGTGTCTTGATAAAGGGGCAGGTTGCCTCCAAAATTTGACAATTCGCTTGTCCGTACTGTTGCTATTACTTCATTGATCATATATATATGTAGAAAAAATTAAAACACTGGAAAACACATGATGTAAAACATAAGTACTTTCATTTCTTCTTCAGATGTTTTACATATTTACATAGGTCTATGTCTGGTCTCTGGTTTGTGGTGTGATGACTTCCTTTGGCAATTCCATCCTGCCGTTTAGATCTGCCTTCATCTGTCAGTCTACTGCTGTTGTCGTGATCCCCGTTCCATCCATTCTTCTCTTTCCAATTTCTCCTGCTCGTATAAAATATACAAACTTGGCCCCTTTGCCATCTTTGCTGGTTTCTCCTTATGTACCTCCAGTGTTACTGCAACTGAAGAAAGCACTTATTCTTAGCGCTAAATGTATCGCCCATCCTTCAGAGGCACTTGGCAGCATGATAAGATATATTCAAGGTTCGCCACTCTCTGGCACAAGGTACACTTCGGATCTTCACTGAGACCCCTTGTAGAAAGGTTCGCTGGGTTTGGCAGCACACCATACACAGGTCTCAGAAGAAATCTGATACGTTGCGCCTCCATGATCCAGATGATGCTCCATGAGAGAGTCCTCTCGCGAACACCCTGCCAGTTAAGCTAACTCCCCTGTTTCTTCATGGATGCTGACTTTACCAATTTCTGCTCCTCTTCCATTTTTCTGCACCATGTCTCTCCATTGTTATGTTTCTGTTTTACTCCATATCTGTCTTGTCGATGTCCCCAGTCCATGCCTGCCGATTGCTATACTTCCCAGGAAGTCCTTTTGTCTGAGCTCGACTCTACCTCTTGGCTTGTCCTGTCAGTTTTCCACTTCCATCCGGTCTTATCGTTCACCTTTGATTTCCTAACCTTCACACCTATGATGTTCTGCAGTAAGAGAAGTGTCCTGACCTTGGTCACCTTATATTCCTCTGTAAGAGATTTCAGACGAATATACAGCTTTGTACCTTCTCCATACAAGTCAAAGCTGCTAAAGCTTCTTTGTACTCCCAACCATCTGCATAGAAAGCTTGTCACCACGCATTCCATCTTCTCAGCTGCTGACAAGTGCACATCGTATAAAAGTATTGGCAATAGTAATCGTGGAAACACACCGTGTTGGTAAATCCAAGCCTTTAATATTCTAAGTTGACCTCTCCTGTATACCATTGTCATTCATCCCTTTGTTCGAACACATCTACTACATTTTCTCCATCAGATAGCGAGCTATCAAACCGCTTTTCAAGGCAAGGATCGGCTTATCTGAGAGAGTTGGAATCGGAATAGTCTCGCCTCCAATCCTGAATTTATCCTTCCTCAGTTTCCCAAGCTTCTGGATTTCGAAGGCTTGAACCTCATACATGCCCACGTGATCACTGTCTCCTCCTTCTGCAATGTGCATTTTGCCTCCACCTCTGTTTTTGGTGGCTATCGTCATGTCATCTATGAAGGCCTTTGTTTCGGTTGCCGTATACCTAAAGCCATGTATGAGCCTCGGCTCATCTTTTCGAGTCTTCACCCTAAAATTCATTGCAACAGAGAACAAAATGACAGTTATCCTACAAGAATCTTGAAGTCCATCATTGCATGATCGCTGTTGGTTCTATATACAAAAGAGGTCCTTGTGGGATCTTGGCGCTTACCATTGTGTACTCTTTTTCCGTTCTTTCATCAGTTGCTTATTAGTTTTATGTTATATAACAAGGATGATAAATTACTGTGTAACATCAAAGCACAAAAGTAAATAATCAATAAATTCAGAGTGTTTTAAAAATAAATTTGCATTCTAGCGATCTATTTGAAGAGCTAAATTGAGCTAAATTGTGGGACATGATTTACAAATCTTGCATGGAAAGCATGATTAAAGCTCTTTTACACTACTGAACTCTGAAAATAAGTAATGTTTCACCATTGACTGAGGTATTAGTGATTAGGATTATATAAACAGCAGGAAAACATTTGACAGGTTGTTGGCAACTAACAAATGAGGATAGAGCACACCCACAAATGATAATAAAAACATCAAGAGGGCACAGAAATTTACCAAAAATAAAGTTGTGGTAACAAATAAAAAAACAGGACTGATGAGCGTATGCGCGTTTGAAAGAGTCAGTATGCAAAGCTTCCAAACGACTCGAAAGTTACTCCAAAATTTCATCGGCTACTCATGAGTTCTAGAACAGTTGTTGAGCTCTTAAACGGCTGGGCAGTACTAACTCTCATAAGTTCTAGACCAGTTGTTGAGCTCTTAAACGGCTGGGAATTACTAGCACTAATGAGTTCTAGAACAGTTGTTGAGCTCTGAAACGGCTGGGCAGTACTAACACTCATGGGTTCTAGAACAGTTGTTGAGCTCTTAAACGGATGGGCAGTACTAGCACTCATGAGTTCTAGAACAGTAGATTAGCTCTTAAACGGCTGGGCAGTACTAGCACTCATGAGTTCTAGAACAGTTGTTGAATGCTAAACTCATTGGTCAGTCCCAGAATAATTCACGAGCCATAGCACAGTCGTTGAGCCCTTATACTATAGGCCAGCCCTTAAATTACTCCGGAGCCATAGAACAGTTGTTAAGCCCTTAAACTGTTGATCAGCCCTTAAATTACTCACGAGCCATAGAACAGTTGTTGAGCCCTTAAACTGTTGGTCAGCCCTTAAATCACTCATGAGCCATATAACAGTTGTTGAGCCCTGAAACCATTGGTCAGACATGAGCCATATAACAGTCGTTGAGTCTTTAAACCTTTGGTAAGTGACTTATAAGTTGTATTTTGACCAAGTAAAGAAAGACTATGTAGCAAGCCTTTGTTGGGTCACTTTTGTCTTCATAAGCAGCATGTATTTATAGAAAAAAAAAGAGAAAATACCGAAAAGTTAAAAGACTTTTAATAAGATCAAAATCAATAATATCAGGACTAAACATAAGAAATAGGAACATCACAGGAAGAATAAGACCAGGTGTTCTGGAAGGGTAAGCATCCATCCTCTATATTTTATCTATGACACCGCCAGAGAAATCATTGTAACATCAATATTCAAAGATGGCATTCTTTTCTAATACATTTATTCAGGATGCACGAAAATACTGGGTTTGCACATGGATTCAATCAGAGTCCCTGCTGCTAAGGAATAAACCATTATCATAATAAGAGGCCCTAGGGGCCTTAATTGTCATCTGAAAATTCAAGAGCAGAGACAATGACCTTTAGACCTTGAAACTTTTGTAAAAAAAAAATCTTTCAAATGTACTTGTGTCTTTAAAAAGTTTTGGAAAAAAATGGTTGTGTTGATAATACTAAATGTTAATGACCTTTCACCTTTAACACTGTGATCTGGAAGCTTTTCAGAAATAATCATCGTATTAAAGCCTATAACTCTCAAATGCATATGGTTCTACTAAAGTTGACAGTTTTGGAAAATATGAATTGACCATTATAGCACTTTTAAGTGTCAATAACCTTTGACATTTGACCCCGTAACCTTGAAAGTTTGCAAAAATAATCCTTGCATTAATTCCTACAGCTTGTATATGTAAAATTTAAGGATTTTGACAACGTCCAACATTAGCCCCGTCCTTGTAGACTAACGATATATAAAGGGGCCATAGATTATGTTATTTTGATAGAGCATCTCTATGACATTACAGTGAAGAAAAAAATGTTTCAGAAAGATACCAAATGCGGAGGAGTTCTTCAAAATAACCCTTTTTATCAAAAGTTTTCGGTCAACCACAGGGCCCTTTGAGATGAGAATCATGAATTCTGATATCTCTTGAGGTATTGATGTTTGTGCCGACGTTTGGTTGTTATTGGCAGAGCAGCCCCAGAGAAGAAGTTGAAAATGTAAACATTTGACCCACAAAGGCCGACGATACACGATTGCAACATTAAAGTCATTATCAGCAAGGTTCAGGTGGCCTAATATATAGATTATAAAGTTATGCTTGTTCAATTTTCAAGATTTCAACTCCGAGGTAGAACGAGAGAACGGATGATATCTGCTGTGTCTATGGAACAAACGTAAGGCAAGAAGTTTTCCGGAGACACAAGGATTTTATCTCTGGTTTGATATCTTACAATCGCCTGCACTTTGTCCTTATTGGGTCCTGGATGTAACCACATCGCTGACCATTTACCTATAAAAGAGTAAACAATCTATCAATACATCAACTGGTGATAGAAATATAATGCACACTGAGCAAACAAGCGTAATAATTTTCTACAGCATAATGTACTAAAGGAGGTATGTAAATCAGAGTAAAAAATTAAGTAATTCAATTAACAAATGAGTATCAAAGAATCCGAGGAACTAATATCGTCCTCTGTCAATATATATTTGTGTCTGTATCTCACCACTAATATCGTCCTCTGTCAATATGTATTTGTGTCTGTATCTCACCACTAATATCGCCCTCTGTCAATATATATTTGTGTCTGTATCTCACCACTAATATCGCCCTCTGTCAATATATATTTGTGTCTATATCTCACCACTAATATCGTCCTCAGTCAATATATATTTGTGTCTGTATCTCACCACTAATATCGCCCTCTGTCAATATATATTTGTGTCTATATCTCACCACTAATATCGTTCTCTGTCAATATATATTTGTGTCTATATCTCACCACTAATATCGTCCTCTGTGTATGTATATTTGTGTCTATATCTCACCACTAATATCGTTCTCTGTCTATGTATATTTGTGTCTATATCTCACCACTAATATCGTTCTCTGTCTATGTATATTTGTGTGTATATCTCTCCACTAATATCGTTCTCTGTCTATGTATATTTGTGTCTATATCTCACCACTAATATCGTCCTCTGTCTATGTATATTTGTGTCTGTATCTCACCACTAATATCGTCCTCTGTGTATGTATATTTGTGTCTATATCTCACCACTAATATCGTCCTCTGTCTGTGTATATTTGTGTCTGTATCTCACCACTAATATCGTCCTCTGTCTAAGTATATTTGTGTCTGTATCTCACCACTAATATCGTCCTCTGTCTATGTATATTTGTGTCTGTATCTCCCCACTAATATCGTCCTCTGTCTATGTACAGTCAAACTTCGATGAATCGATCTTCGATGATTCGATATTCTCGCTGTGTCGATATTTTTACTTGGTCCCGACTATTTTCCTTATATATTTCTACTTAACTCACTACTCATGAATCGATCATTTATGTTTCGATATTCTCGGTGTTTCGATAATTTTCTACAGTACAAGTCATATAAATTCGTGCAAAATCACCATGAATAAATCGATCAAAATTTACCTGTGGTCACTGTGCTCGATGGTCAGTCGACCGAAACAAATTCACACCTGTAGCGAGACCCTCCAGCGTTAATCTTTTGTTTACCGTTACGGTCGATCAGGACAATGGCATTTTACCACCTCTTGTATACAATTAGTCAATGACCAATAATTAGTTTGAACAGTAATATATGCTATGTTAGAAAGATTGATACATACACACGCCGAATTGAGGCAAGTGTTATTATTGTCAAATCACATGACGCCATTTTGAGATGTTATGGTTGTACTAATTACCGTACTGTACTCAGCCGCCTCACAGATTGCCGACGTCAGTTATTCCATCCAACAGTATTTCCTCCTCGAGAGAAAACAGTGTACCCTGAGTGAGTTCTTTGGAACTGTTTCTAAGTGTGACTGATTAATGTGTTATTTGTGTTTTAGTGCTAATGGTGATAGTGTTTAAGAGTACTAAATAACTGACAGTGCCAATTTCGTGCTTTTCGTGACATGTGATTTTTCTGTTCCGTAAAATACATTTACCCATTTCGTCATTTACGTGTGATACTTCATTGCCATGTACTTCGAATGTTTCATGTTATTTATTGTTGTTTGGTCGTAATAAAATTCAATTTAACTGTTTTTGATTGTTGAGTCTTTATTTAAATCATTAATACACACATAATTGTTATCTTTTGTCTAAAACATAATGAAAAAACTTTTAAATACGGACCCCTATTACGTGGACCAGCTATTTGACTGAACTATTTTTGTATCGAAGTCCCGATGTATCGATATTTTTATGACGGTCCCTTGAATATCGAATTATCGAAGTTTGTATATTTGTGTCTGTATCTCATCACTAATATCGTCCTCTGTCTATGTATATTTGTGTCTATATCTCTCCACTAACATTGTCCTCTGTCAATATATATTTGTGTCTATATCTCACCACTAATATCGTCCTCTGTGTATGTATATTTGTGTCTATATCTCACCACTAATATCGTCCTCTGTCTATGTATATTTGTGTCTGTATCTCACCACTAATATCGTTCTCTGTCTATGTATATTTGTGTCTATATCTCTCCACTAATATCGTCCTCTGTGTATGTATATTTGTGTCTATATCTCACCACTAATATCGTCCTCTGTCTATGTATATTTGTGTCTATATCTCACCACTGATATAGTTCTCTGTCTATGTATATTTGTGTGTATATATCTCCACTAATATCGTCCTCTGTCTATGTATATTTGTGTCTATATCTTACCAATAATATCGCCCTCTGTCTATGTATATTTGTGTCTGTATCTCACCACTAATATCGTCCTCTGTCTATGTATATTTGTGTCTATATCTCTCCACAAACATTGTCCTCTGTCTATGTATATTTGTGTCTATATCTCACCACTGATATAGTTCTCTGTCTATGTATATTTGTGTCTGTATCTCTCCACTAATATCGTCCTCTGTGTATGTATATTTGTGTCTATATCTCACCACTAATATCGTCCTCTGTCTATGTATATTTGTGTCTATATCTCACCACTGATATAGTTCTCTGTCTATGTATATTTGTGTGTATATATCTCCACTAATATCGTCCTCTGTCTATGTATATTTGTGTCTATATCTTACCACTAATATCGCCCTCTGTCTATGTATATTTGTGTCTGTATCTCACCACTAATATCGTCCTCTGTCTATGTATATTTGTGTCTATATCTCTCCACAAACATTGTCCTCTGTCTATGTATATTTGTGTCTATATCTCACCACTGATATAGTTCTCTGTCTATGTATATTTGTGTCTGTATCTCACCACTAATATCGTCCTCTGTCTATGTATATTTGTGTCTGTATCTCCCCACTAATATCGTCCTCTGTCTATGTATATTTGTGTCTATATTTCACCACTAATATAGTTCTCTGTCTATGTATATTTGTGTCTATATCTCACCACTAATATCTTCCTCTGTCTATGTATATTTGTGTCTATATCCCCTCACTAATATCGCCATGAGGTTATAATGTGACTTTTTCTGATAACAAATATATTTACTCTGACACACAACATCATTCTGGCGGTCGTTCGGTTCCGTAAGTCCAAAGTTGTCAGTGGTGGGATAATAAAGAACGCGAACGAGGCTGTCCTTCTCGTTGTTTGTATGATTTGAGCGGAAGTTCATTTCGTCTGCATTGACGAGGGTCATTGGTCCAGTTGTCCAGCGATAGACGTAATCTTTCTCCACTAAGTAGTGCCCTGTGTAATACGACTGATATTCGGAAGATCTGAAGATCAAAAAAAGAAGTGAAACATAATGAGATTTTACATATATATATATATCATGTTTTTAAATCAGTATAGTCCTGTTGTAAAATCATAAACCAGGTCATCAGTGCATCGGAATCCAAAGGTGACTCAACTATCTAACTTTATTTAAGTAGACTGAAAAATCTTGGTAGGAGTGAAGACAGCTGAAAGATTATCGACTGAAATGACGATGACTTAATTGTCTCCTAGGAATGAAGGTGGTGGAATTACCTACTGGGAATTAAGTTGACTAGATTATCTATTAGGAATGAAGGTGAATGGATTATCTACTGGGAATAAAGGTGACTGGATTATCTACTGGGAATAAAGGAGACTGGATTATCTACTGGGAATAACGATGACTGGCTTATCTACTGGGAATGAAGGTGAATGGATTATCTACTGGGAATGAAGATGACTGGATTACTACTGGGAATGAAGGTGACTGGATTATCTACTGGGAATGATGGTGAATCGATTATCTACTTGGAATGAAGGTGACTGGATTATCTACTGGGAATGAAGGTGAATGGATTATCTACCGGGAATGATGGTGACTGGATTTTCTACTGGGAATGAAGGTGGCTGGATTATCTACTGGGAATGATGGTGACAGGATCATCTACTGGGAATGAAGATGACCGGATTATCTACTGGGAATGAAGGTGACTGGATTATCTACTGGGAATGAAAGTGACTGGATTATCTACTGGGAATGAAGGTGGCTGGATTATCTACTGGGAATGAAGGTGGCTGGATTATCTACTGGGAATGAAGGTGGCTGGATTATTTACTGGGAAGGAAGCTGGTTGAGTTATCTACTATCATCCAGATAGCTCCATTTTGTCAAACCTCTTGTTATACTATGTTGACACACCGTCCTAATAATTTTTGTAAAACACTGCCATAATAAAACGTCGATAACATTGTTATGCTATGTAGACAAAATGTTGACAACATAGTCGTACCATGTTGACAATAAATTTTTCAATCTATGTAAATAATTTTGTTGTGAAACTATGTTGACAACACCGCCCTATTCAATGTTGAAACGCCCTAATTCAATGATGACAACACTGTCTTTATACTATATTAATACAAGAATACTAAAGTCAGCATACTTACGTGAGATTGTTTGACTTAAGGAAATCAAGAACATATTCCAGACCTCCGTCGTAAAGTTGGATCAACGTTTTCCCAGTATCTGTGCAATGTTTTAAGGCTACATCGTACTTAGAAGCTGTTCTTATCCTTTCTAGATCTGTTTGACGAACCCGAAGGATAAAATCAATATCATATTAAATATTGGTTTACTAAATTTTGATAATTGTCTACACCACAAGAGGGGGTATTGGGGGAAGGCTCATCAGGATTTTATCAGTGCCTCCTTCTTTTGTTATAGTTTTTTTCTACACAATGATAACGACTGAAATAAACCTAATTACAAGTATCTACGAAATCGGCCTTGCATTTTGTTGAAAAATGGGGTAAAATCGAGGCAGGAAAATGCTTCCAGACTGAAAGTCAACTTTTAACCATAATAGCACTATGAAGGCTTATAACGCAGGATGTCCGCCAGGTTCTCCCTTCTATTGTTCTATGGGGTCAAAATATTTTACCAAATAAAACATGAATGCTATCGTTTCCATAACGTTGAAAAAGACTTTTCTCTGTGATCTAGCCTTCAGAAAGCCTTTTCTCTGTAATCTAGCATTGAGGAAGACTTTTCTCTGTAATCTAGCCTGGAGAAAGCCTTTTCTCTATAATTTAGCCTTGAGAAAACCTTTTCTCTGTAATTCGGCTTTGAGAAAGCCTTTTCTCTGTAATCCAGACTGGAGAAAGTCTTTTCTCTGTAATCTAGCCTCAAGAAAGCCTTTTCTCTGTAATGTAGCCTTGAGAAAGCCTTTTCTCTGTAATCTAGGCTTGAGAAAGCCTTTTCTCTGTAATCCAGACTGGAGAAAGTCTTTTCTCTGTAATCTGGCCTTGAGAAAACCTTTTCTCTGTAATCTAGTAATTTCTGAGAAAACCTTTTCTCTGTAATCTGGCCTTGAGAAAACCTTTTCTCTGTAATCTAGCCTTGAAAAATCTTTTCTCTGAAATCTAGCCTTGAGAAAACCTTATCTCTGTAATCTAGCCTTGAGAAAGCCATTGCTTTGTAATTTAGCCTTGAGAAAGCTTTTTTCTGTTATCTAGACTTGAGAAAGCCTTTCTCTGTAATCTAGCATTGAGAAAACCTTATCTCTGTAATCTAGTTTTGAGAAAGCCTTTATTCTGTAATTTAGCCTTGAAAAAGCATTTTCTCTGTAATCTAGCCATGAGAAAGCCTTTTCTCTGCGATCTAACCCGAGAAAGCCATTTCTCTGTAATCTAGGTATGAGAAAGCCTTTACTATATAATCAAGACTTGAGAAAGCCTTTTTTCTGTAATCTATACTTTAGAAAGAACTTTCTCTGTAATCTAGCATTGATGAAACCTTTCCCATATAATCTAATTTTGAGAAAGCCTTTTCTCTGTAATGTAGCCTTGAGAAAGCCTTTCCTCTGTAATCTAGGCTTGAAAAAAAGCTTTTCTCTGTAATCTAGTATTGAGAAAGTCATTTCTCTGTAATCTAGGCTTGGGTTTTTCTCTTCTCGGTAATCTGCTCTCGAGGAAACCTTTTCTCTGTAATCTAGCTTTGAGAAAGCCTTTTCTCTGTAGTCTACCATTGAGGAAACCTTTTCTCTGTAATCTAGCCTTGAGAAAGCCTTTTCTCTGTAATCTAGCCTGGAGAAAACATTTTCTCTGTCATTTAGCCTTGAGAAAGCCTTTTCTCTGTAATTTAGCATTGGGAAAGCCTTTCCTCTGTAGTTTAGTCTGAAGAAAGCCTTTTCTCTGTAATCTAGCCTTGAGAAAGCCTTTTCGCTGTAGTCTAGCATTGAGGAAACCTTTTCGCTGTAGTCTAGCA